CGACTCATCTGTGTGTTGTCATGTTCGATATACACCACTCCAGAAAAAGCATGACTGTGCCGGACTGTTTCGTCGGACTTTCACCGACTCATCACGAGGTTGAGCCCCCACAGTCTGCCCGGGATGACTTTGACTGATGGATAAGGAGTATGAAGGACTGACCACGTCGCCCAGAGTTAGATACTCCTGAGAAAAGTGGATCACTTTACTCAGCACCAACCCTGCAATCCTACCTGACTGTCGGTCCAAACCCCCGAGAAGAACGACAGCAAGTCTGAGAAAGCAATTCTGTCACAGCCTCGCAGTCATAAAACTCACCCTACACACCCAATCTCGACTCATCTGTCTTGTATAATATCGCCACAACAACACCTTTTCCACCCAGATGAGCAGATCCAAAATTGAAACAGCTTCACCTCTGTGTGCGTGTGTTGTAAACTATCACCATAAGTTCATAACCAACCCTTTTCCACCCAGATGAGTAGATAGATCCATATTTGAAACACTTGTTGCCTTAGAATCTTCTATAGCAGACAACATGAAGCGCACGGAAACCGTAATATTGCCTTTGCCTTGTGTAGTTCTTTATTTATTTATTTTTTTAAATTTATTTCTTTATTCATTTTCCTTCCTTTGCTTCTTTTATTTTGTGTTTTTTCTTTTGCTTGTTATTTGCAGCTCCCCATTCACTGTGCCTCTCACATACAAGGCTCACCACAATGATTGTGGTTGAGCGCAAGTTGCCCACATCCCTGTGTGCCGTAATGGCCCACTTGCAAGCTATGAAAAGGAGGCAGAGCAAAGAGGGAGGAGTGCATCTTGCCTGTTCTCGTTATGATGCTCATTCGTATGCCTTTAAGCAATTCTGTACGGCGGGAGGGAAGAAGGAGAAGGGGGCGGGGTGAGGGAGATAGGGGAAAGAAGAAACAGAACAGGGGAAAAAAAATAACTTCACAGGATTCTCAGTATTTGCCAGCAAAGCAGACTGCTAGAGCATGGCACGAGGCCAGGCCAGCCAGTATTTGAGGTTTGCCGAGAAAACTAGGTTGAGGAGCGGGAAAGAGGGAAAAAAAAAAAAAAAAAAAAAAAAAAAAAGAAAAAAAAAAAGACAGCTGCACCGGCCACTGGCCGGTTGGACCGGGCTGGTTAGAACCCCGGTGGTCCAACCGGAAATCCGGTTGGGCCCAAAACCGGGTCGATTTTTTTTTTTTCTTCTTTTTTTGATGATGGGGTTGGACTGCGCTTGTCGAGATCTCCCCGAATCGGGGTGCTGCATTTCAGGGGTGGGGGGTGGGGGGTGTTAGTGGGGTGGTTGCAGCGTACCTCTCTCTCTCTCTCTCTCTCTCTCTCTCTCTCTCTCTCTCTCTCTCATTTCCGCACCCCGACAGGTTTCCGTGTGCAAACTTACTTCCGCGCGTCAACTTACTTTCGCGCGCCCACTACCCTCCGCAAACTTGGGCTCTGCCAGAAGAAGAAGAAGAAGAAGAAGAAGAAGAAGAAGAAGAAGAAGAAGAAATAGAAGAAGAAGAAGAAGAAGAAGAAGAAGAAGAAGAAGATAGTAAGAAAAGAAGAAACAGAGGAACAAGAGGAAGACCTACTCTTACCGATGGACGGCGGGGCGGGGCGGGGCAGGGCGGGGCGGGGGGGGGCGGGGCGATGGCGATTCCAAGGC